TACGCAGTTCCAGAATCTTCCTTTTTGCCGACATGCCTCGCACTGCGACTGTCTCTGGCGATCTCGCCGTGGAAACAGTGACTTGGCAGCGACGGTTCACCTCGATGCTGGAGGCGCGGGGCTGGCCGCGGTGACCTCGCGTCTCACCCCCGGCTGCTGCCTGTGACGCGAGTGTCGCCTTCGGCTGAGGTCGTGTCCTCTTTCAAACGCGGTGCGCGTCAGCCGCCTGGGTCCCTGTCACCTGCGTGTCCCCAGCGGTCCATAAACAGAGACCTACTTTTCGACTGTCCGCTAATTACTGCCAGGTGTACCCTACTGTACATGTCAGCCCCCCCTGCCCTCTCTGTGGCCTTTTTGACAGTCGGGAGGGGCTGGTGCACAAACATATAAGGTTCCAGCCCCTAACAGCTCTATTTCAGACTCAGAGTCCATTACAGGACTCCCTGTACAATTTTTTTTTTTTTTTTTTTGTAAATTAGCTTTACTCAAACCTGCGGCTGTGTCACCCCCCTCCCCCCAAGGTCTGGGCTTGAGGGCAATTTTAGGAGTTGGTTCCCCCAAAAGTCGCCTCTGTTTTTAAAAAATATTTATTTATTTAAGGCGAAGAAGCACAGAACAAGGTGACAGTAAAGTCATTAATTTGAAAAGAAAAGGAAATATGGCATGAAGAAGAAGGACGGGAAAAGAAAGAAAAAATCAACTCAAAAGCTGCAAATAGGTGTTATTATCCAGTATATATGTGAGAATTCTGAGGACTATAGTTTTCCCTTAACAATGGGCATGTCTTTGTGTGTGTGTGTGGATTATGTTTATATCCTGTTATTCTGATGTTGGGGGACCGTTGTTCATGTCAAGATCTGTGAATGCAATCAAAGAACTAAAAATGCCAAAAGTCTCATTTTTAGTTTGGTTACTTATGGTTAAGGTTAGGGCTGGGTAGGGGTTAAGGTTGTCATGTTGGGATTAGAGTTTTCTCCTGAGAAGGAGGAGGAAGAAAGAGATTGATTGGTGGGGAGGTGGTGTTTGACCAGGATATTTCTGTATCCAACCAAGGCCTAATGCCCCTGGTTTTACATCCCTGTTAGCAAATGAATGGCAAAATCACAGAACCCAGAGAATACAGTGATTCCTCTGTTCGGCTTGACATCTCTGCAGGTCCGTACGCTGTGGATCCATCAGTGTTCTGGGTCTATCATTAAAGCCCATCTTTCACTCAGCAGATGGTTTTGTCATGACGTACGTTGGGGAGCAGAGAGCGGAATCCCTGAAGCTCTTTGGGGTATGGATCTTACTTACTGAAGCTTTTTGGGGTATGGATCTTACTTACTGAAGCTCTTTGGGGTATGGATCTTACTCAGGGCCCAAAACCGGCATCTTCCTGTCAGATGGCTGAGATCCCGACCCAGGCCACAGAGTGGTAACCTGCAGAAGGACACTGCATATCGTGCATCCTCCCCCCGTGCACAGTGAGCGCCCGTGTATATGCCTGCACATAAAGCCTGATGTCCAGACATGAGTGACGTTTCAGAGGAACCTCCTCCTCACCGCGATGATGCATGACAGGCTGGAAAGCACGTAGAAGGATGTGACATATTTACGCTCCTATTGATTATTTTACTCCTGGCTGATTTCCAAGAGTGCCATCCCCTACCTCATTAGGTCATGCGTCCTCAGAGGAGCTGAAAACAGGCCCCCCCGTGGGTCACGGCCCCCTCTCTCGCCATTTACCCGCTCTCTCCGGTGGCCTGCTGACAAACCAGTCTGCTGACATTGATGTAATAATGTCCAGCTGGGGGCCCAGAGGACAACGGCCGGGCCTGGATGTGATTTCATCAAGCCCACGGGGGATTGTCTGGTATGGAGGCCACTGGATCAAAGTGGCTGTCCTGTTTAGATAACAGGTGTCATTGTTTCATGGAGGAATGTGGCATTACTGCCTTGATAGGAGGCAGGTTCCGAAATGGTGGACCTTCACTAAAGCTCCCCGAAGCTGTCTGCTTCAGGACACTGCCTCTCCGTATCTGTCAGCTCTTTGCCTCCATCTTACCAGATGTCTCTTTCAATGATGCCACTGGATCCTCTATAGCAGTAGCTGGGGTTGGTATTATAATCATACCCTAAGGTCACCACAGATTTGCCTTGGTGGATGTCGGATGCCGGCGGTGAATGTATACACATCGATTAAACGACTGCCGCTTGGAGAGAAGCCGTAGTTAATCAATCTTAAAATTCTGCTTGGGGCAGCCCTTTGCCTGGGAAATTAGAATGAAGTGGAATACGTCCATTGTGCTTGTGTTTCAGCTTTGGCTTCTGACATCTCGTGTGGAAATCATGAGGAATGTGCCCTATGACTTTCCAATTTACCCCCCCCCCCGCCAATATTCAGAAATAAAGAATGGCCATGCCTCAAAAAGCAGAACACTTAAATTCTCTTGATATAACTACAAAGAGGAAAACCGGTATGGCCATCTGTATCCAGTACATTCCAGCTTATTGAGAACTAATAATACTTAGTATTTTGTAATTATCACCATGGCTGTTTATGTCCCCCCCCCCCTCTCTCTCTCTCTCTCCCCTGCTTTGCGAATGCACCAGTCTGCCAGCCGGCCATCAACCTCAAGCTGACGTTGAATCTTGCCCTGTAATTTAAGCTTTCTTTGCAACTACCTTTCTTAATTGATCAGATCCGTCTTGGGAGACTTGCCTGTTAATCATCTGATGGAACGAACAACATGGCAGACGCCCAACAGAGATGTAAACATGGCCTGAAAGATGTAGTTATTTTTAAACTGGCAAGCTGGTGTTTGGTAGACAAGATGGCAGCACATTAGTATAACAGCGCTCACATAAACAGATCAACATGCACCCAGAGCTGGTTTGCTGTGCCGCAGTACATCTCTGCACTCCACGTACGGACGGACCCCACATCGAGCTCATCTTGCACACTAATGACAAACACACGACTGTGCTTTTATTGAGTTACAGAGTCAATCATTTTAACATAAAAGTTGGAGCGATGCGAGGCCCGCCTTGTTGCAGATTATGCAAGAATTTACATTTAAAAACAACTTTCAGTAACTTTTCTCTTTTTCAGAAATGCATCACGAGGCACCACACTGACAACCACAAAAAAATAATTGTCCAAAAAACCATTAGCAAGAACAAAAACTCTAAAGTATCGGCAAAAAAATGTTAAATTACATCAAAATGCAGTATAAATGCACCTAATAAGGACATTTTTCCTTTAACCACTGATCTAAATTTTTATGGGCGAAATGATTCCCCTTTGTGTCATGCCCTGCATTTTACCCCTTGGCGGGTCAGTCTGGGAGGTTTGTTTGCTGGCTGCTGCATCGGAGCACGGAGGGGGAGCAGAGTCTGCCTCAACCCTATCCCGCATTAGCCACAGCCCCTCCCCCCCCCGCGCCCCCCCAGCAGGCATTAGAAAGGGAAAACGCAGCGTCAGCCCCACTTTGTTTCCAAGCATCACCCCGTCCTCTCCTGGGGCCCCCCACCCATTGTTGCAGGGGTCCTTAAGGGTCACAGGGGAGCTGAGTGAGGGTTGTATGCTTGTGGTGGGGTGTGGGGGAGTCTAGCAGCTTTCTAAAGGCTGGCATCTCCGTCTGCCCCCACCCAACCGAGGGCGGGGAAGACAACTGTTGCTAAGAAGCACAATGGATTAATATTGAAGCAATTTATTGTGATGCCCTCCCCCCACCCCCCATCTTCTTAGAGCCCAGGATGCATGGCTAATATTTTAATGGCCCCCGCCCCTCTCCCCCCCCCCCCCCCTCACTATATGCTGTGTTTCAGTGAATGGTCTCGGATGAGACCGCAGGCTTGTTTACTTTTGAACGGACACAGTTGTCCCCAGTGGACAGCCGGCCTGCTCCACACCCTAAGCTGAGGGCCCGGGGCCCCGCCTTCTCACTCTGCCGCTCACCCCATTTGGTGGGCTGCGGGGGCAGTGAGGGGGGGGGGGTAGCTGTGTCTCTGATCGAGTGGGGAGGGGGCAATGAGGGCTCGCGTCTTACTAAGCAACACTATCGGCCTGTCGGATTCAAAAGCTTAGCTGTGTGTTTTGTTGATGCAGAACTAAACACTCAAGTACACATTTCATCCCCCATCAATGTGAAGCATGGGCCTCCCGTAAGTAATTCCTTTAGTGAATCTTCTAGAGAGACAATTAATGGAGAGGAATCTCTCTGAAAAGCTTTCTCACATTTGAGTGGAAGCCCAGAGTAATAATCTGAAATCAGATGAGTGATTAAAGGCTAAATTTGCCACAGATCCCACAATGATATTACAATTTGGCGTTGCAGTGATTCATTTTGAATAGGCACAATTTTATATGTTTGTGTGAGTGCGAGCATTTTAAAAGTTCCATAAGTAAATATAAATATATTTCAGCTTCCTCAAAACATTTTCTTTCAAATTGTTTTTCTTAAAAAAACAGTAAAACTTTGCATGTCATGAAAAAAAGATAGAGCCCCCTTAAGTGTGACCACCCCAGTGTTGTTCCAAATCAGAGTCTAGATGAAAAAAGAAAACAAAAAGCAGAATCTCCCAACACGGGAAGAGAGCCAGCGATTGTCTGAAAATGAATGATTCATGAAGACACCGCAGTATGAACTGTAACAATGGCCACAACCCCCCGCCCCCCCACGCCTCTGGCTCCAACAGCTGGCTTTGTTGACACCACTGTGTCCAATAGCAACAAGCAGACCCTCGGGTTGCACTGCCAAGCCCAGCTTAAGCGTCCGGTCAAGGCTGACAGGGGAGGCATGACCGCTGCGGCCCCCGCCATCATCGGCTGCCCCATGCACTGTGTTGATGGGCCGTGCCTATTTAACTGTCACTCTGTATTTCACTGGTGGGGGGCCTGGAATGTTCCTGGTTATGAGCAAGCCGAGCTGAGAGTGGATTTCGTCATCCCTGCGTGCCACCCGTGCTGAGGGCTGGGTGTCCCACATTCGCCGGCGGCCATTTTACTTTCACAAAACACCAGGAATGGTGCGATCTGCCACAAAATGTCTCTCAGTCACAGCTTGTTTTGTTCTTTTGTGGTTCTGTTGGGGAAAAAGAAAGAAAAGAACTCAGACTGAATAAACCACTTGCAGAAATACTCCGCATGCACAGCTGAGTGGCTGCCTCTCATCTCTGACGCGGCTCTTGACATTCCCCCGGTTCAGAGCACGGCCTCTGCCTTCACGGCCCTGGGTCACAGTGCACCACGGTGCAGCCTCCTCCTTCACGGTGCCGGCTCACAGTGTACCACGGCACGACCTCCTTCATTAAGGAGCTGGCGCAGATTGGCCTCCTCCTTTGCAATCCCAGCTCAGCTGTTACGGCGCCGGCTCAGACTGTGCCACGGCACGGCCTCGTCCGTTACGGCGCCGGCTCAGACTGTGCCACGGCACGGCCTCCTCCGTTACGACGCCGGCTCAGACTGTGCCACGGCACGGCCTCGTCCGTTACGGCGTCGGCTCAGACTGTGCCACGGCACGGCCTCGTCCGTTACGGCGTCGGCTCAGACTGTGCCACGGTGCTGCCACTCATCTGCGATGCCTGCACTTAATCTCACAGACAGGCAGATTGAAGGAAATGAAATCTAACTCAACAAAGGATTCGTGCTACTTTGATCAGAGAATTCCACCCCACCCCCCCACCCCCCAGATTACTTAGAATCTACTGCATGCATGTTTGTCTGTCCGCTACAAAACAGAAGCACATCGCTGTTGCTTTGATGCAATCTTTGCACTTTAAAGGGGGGCTTATAGAGAAGCAATGGGGGGCAGCGTGAGGCTGGGGGAACCTGACACACCTCCCAATACACACCAGTGTGAGCAAGACCAACCTGGCTCTGTGATTCGCACCCGGAACCCACAGGATTCTGGGGCATTTATGAGTCTCTTTGTCAGTGAGATGGAGTCTTTTCAGTCCGACATAAAAACATTTGCGGGAATGCAGATCTCCAGTCCGGGGAACCTGACAGACCATAGAGAACGGCAGTGCAGATAAATAAAGGTTCCACCCTTCTAATAAAGCAGAGTTCCTCCACGTACTCGGGCGTCGCGCTCGGCTCCCAGAGATAAATGGTGCTTGTTTTCCCTGCACGTCGACCTGCGCCGATTTTATCTCACCTGAGAATGACGGCTCACAGGCCCGTTTGATAATAAGCAAGAGATTCGGACTCATGACTCCAAAGCCAAGAAAGAGCGTCCGCTGTCAGCTGTTATCCAGGCTGCCGGGAGATCTTCCTCTCCGACGTCCGTCACCATGACTGCAGAGGGAGCTTGTCGTCCGATTAAGCTCCGTGCGGGTAGGGGACGGCTTATTAAGAACTGGGGTGTAAAATTATTTTGGAGCTCATTTGAATAGCGCATGGTTGACGGCAGCACCGTTACAGGAACGCAGGGAAGGGAGGTGGCAAGGGCTATATTTAGATGTGCAATGTCTATTTAAAACAGCAGCAGCGGTCAAGCGGTTTTAAAATCCATGATGCGCATACATATTAATTATTGATACGGCTTCGGAGCTCAGCTTTAACTCCAGGTTTTTCAAAGTGGTCCATCTCTACAGCAGACACGACCCGGTGAAATCGATATGGGGAGACACACGAGACAAAGGAGTGAAACCGTAGTACAAATTAAATCATTAGGATGATGCATACGCACAGAAGGAGAGCGCTTGGTAAGGTCAATGAATTACACCAGCATATCCAGCATGTCTGCATCTTTAATGTGCCCCAAATTGGCCTCAAGAGCTCTTTAGAGGGGAAAAAAAGACACTACAAAAAAAAAATCCCTATTATGTTACGGCTGTGTATTGGGTGAGCGGATAAATAGTTAAAGACCCCAGCAAATACAGCGTGGATGAACAATAAGAGACAGGTGCTGGCGGAGTTATGGCCTGAATACGGTGAGAGACAGTGGAGAATGAAAATAGCGTGTGTCCCTCATTACTGCAGCCGCCCACTTTGCCCGTCAGTGTAGCCCAATGTATCACATCGCACAAATGAAACCTTTGGCTTTAAATGCCGTTTGATTGAATCTTGGTGCAACGCTCCGGTTTGACAGATGGCGAAACGTACAAACAAACGCATTCATATGAAACACGTATTTGCAGCCAGCAGCTCGATCCTAGGCAACTGCCTGTTTCTGTTGTACAGCTGCATATTTTACTGCAGAGGTTCGGGGTGAAGACGGAGCCTGAAGGGGCTACGCAACAGAAGCTCCTGGGTTGGTGAAGCCTCGGTTTTTGGGTTATGGGTCCCTGACCCGAAACGCCACGTCAGGAACAGGCTGCGAGGACGGTGATGCGCCGATCGCGCCAAGCGGACTGCGGCTCTAATTGTTATCGAACGGACTATTCATACCCTGATTTACCAACTGGGCCCGGTTGTAGCCTAATGAGCTCAGCTTTTTTGCGTGGGCTCGAGGTTTGGACCCACGGCTTGAGGCTAATTTGAATTGGTGGTGCCATTGGTTATGGGTTAGGCTGAGGTGCCGATTAAAACACAAAGGTGTTTGTTCACTCATTAACGTTGGGGGTGGGTTGGGGTTCAGGATTCCCCTAATGGAGGTCGTGGGTCATTGGAGATATTCAGGAACATTCTATGCTCATTTCAGTTTGACAGAAGGGCAACACCACATACTGTAAGCAAACACGGCACATAGTCTAAAAATACCTCCATTCATCAGCAGTAGCTGCTAAGCCAAGCAGATCATGATGTATCTGGACTAAAGCATCCTGATAAAGGTGCAATAGCTAATACAGGACACTGATTACACATGCAGTGGAGGTGGAGCAGCTGGTGGGTTGGAACAAAAGTCTCATGGATAAAACTAAAGAGATGATTGCCGACTTCAGGAAGACCGATGTGGACTCTTTCTCCATCAATGGCCACTCCATGGAGACAATCAGAAGCACTAAACACATATGACCTCACCTGGTATCTCAACACCACCTCTCTAGCCAATGAAGTGCAACCGCACCTCTGTATCTTGTGGCGACTGCGGAGAATGAGCCTCCCTCACCATGTTCTACAGCGAGTGTCCGTAGTGAGTGTCCGCACCGACTGCATCACTGCCTGGTATGGGAATCACAAATTCCTCAAACAATAGGTCAATGGAGGGTGAAATACAACAGAAACATCAACAGCCCCTGCCCCATTCTGGATACTCATGACAAATGCTACATTCGCATGGCCTCCAGCATGCTGGCTGACCCCCCAACCCCCCCCCCCCCCTCTGTCTGGAGATATCGCAGCATCCAGGCTCAGCTACAGCTTCTCCCCCGAGGCTGTCCAGGTCCTCAACACCCTGCTGCCCCCCATCTCCCACACAACTTAATAATGACCGTAAGATCCCCCCCCCCATATCCCTTGGCACCTTCCGCAATGCTGCACCCATCCCACCATCTCTATAGTTATTCTACATGCCGTATTTATTCCGATATCACGCCAGCCATGATGATAAATCCCTCCCTGGTGCATCTGCTTTATTCATATATAGACTGTGTTGTATCACGCTGCACTGTGTGAGGTCTGACACACGGCCTGCACAGCTGTCTATGGTGAACGCGATCCTGCGTTTTTCCATTGTATGGGCGGGATTCTCAACATATCTGCCGTCACATGTATGCCCACCGTGTAGCTTACATATGGAAATGCTGCCTTATTTATTAATTCGACTCTTTGCACTTAAACCTGTCACTTTACTGCTAATTGCACAGCATAAAAAGATGTTAATGATGTTATTGGTTAAAGTTCATTGTTGAAAGTCTCGTCTATACTTATGGCCCCGGTTTCACAGTCTTGAAGTCAGGCAACAAGATATTTCCCTGCACACTGTACTGAGTATGACTGTGGGTATGTCAGATAAAACTTTCGATGACTGATTTATCGTTTGGTCCATGATAATAAAGTTCGCTTCTTATCATTGGGCTCCAACGCTCACCTACCAACGAAAGCTGTAGAACCTGAACATCTGGAGAACCTACGAACGGCCTGCATGCAGAGCTAGGCCCAGATTTAAAAAACAGTGAGATAAAAACAGTCACTGCTGAGTCACTCCGCCCCCCCCAGTTTCCAATTTAAAAATATATAGTACAAATGTAACAGCAGATGCTGCAAAGCAGCTTTGTCTGTCCTCAAGGTTAGATGTCAGCCATGAGCAGCACATGGATGCAGGGCCTGTTCTCTGCTTGCTGCTCTCCCGATCGGGTTTGACAAATCATTTAACGTTCCGGGTGCATTCTTCTCCAGATAGAAGATAATCCACTAAGCGACCTAGCGGGGGTGATATCAAACACCCAACACCTTCAACAACAGATTACTGATGCCCCCAAAATAATTCTTTCTCTCATTCTATAGTTCAAAGGAGGCAATAACCAATTTCAGCACAATATCACATACAATCCCGCGTAAATGACAGATTGACGGATGCAGGGCCGGGAAAGAACAACTCCTGTGGCCAATTAAACTGTACATAAACACTGCCAATTATTACCAAGGCGCACAGGTCTATTCTGAGGGAATTATGTATGAGGCCCCTCCCACTACTAAAATAGGCCGAAGCACAAACTGCATCCAGATTAAACAGCAAGGGTGCCTAGCTCTCCCACCGAGGGGCCAGTGAACAGGTGTCATAACCACTGACCTTCATTTCCAACAGCTCTTATCAGCCGTAATGCAGTCTGCTTGGGTTCGCGGCGTTCTGGGGAGATTATGCAGCCTAAAACGGCCTTCAGCAGGTTCGCCAAGGAACCACACTCCCTCCATCTTTAATCGTGGGCCTCGCCCGTGACAGCGCCGCCTACATAGCCATATGGGGGTCCTCTAAGTGGGGGAGCGAAGGTGCTCAGGCCCCAGCAGCTGAGAAGAAACCGAACACTAACAGGAGGAGGGCCGGTTAAAGCGCAGTGTCCCCGCTGAGCACCAGCCCGGGTGCGACTAGCCCCGCCCACAGCCTTGCCTGTGATCCTCACAGGACACTGGAAGGCAAGATGGCGGAATGGCGTGCAGCACGGGTGTCACGTCGAGGCGTCCAAGCACTGCCTGTTCCTG